TGTTTTTCTAGTTTTGGTTTTAGCCAGTGTTTTGTTGACCTTAGCTTCTAGCCACTGTTTGATTAATTTTAGCTTTTACTTGTTGTTTTGATGGCTTTTGTTTCAAGTAACAGTTTTTCTGGTCTAAGAGATCAGTTCCTTTTATGCTTTTAAGTTTCAGCTGTTGTTTGTTGACGACAGCTCTTAGATAATGCTTTGCCAGCCTTAGCTTTTAGCTACTGTTTAGCTATCTTTAGCATTTAACCATGATTTTTTTTAACATTTAGTTGTAGGATACTGCTTTACTGGTCTTAGCTTTTATCTATTTATTATGTTGCTATTTTTAGCTTCTGTTTTGCTGCTTTAGCCGTATTTGGTGAGCTTTATAAACTTTTCTGACAGTTTTTGGAGTTGAAACCAGCCAAAATAAAATTGATCTTATCGTACGTTTTATACGCCCACAAACAGATAAATATGAAGAACATGTCATGAGGTCATGCAAACTAAGAAAGTACTTCTGAGGGTTTATAGGTCAGGGTTCCTATTTAGTCGTGGGTTTTTTCTGTTAAAGTTTTAAAAACTTGGTGTCACACATGCAAGTAAACCAATAAAGACATCTTGTTTTTGCTTATACAACGTGTATATTGGACATATTGGGACATTCGGCTGTCTTCTGTGTGGTGCACAAAGAAAACTGCAGGCTCGTCTGCCACCTTTGCTCTGGTTGACAAGCTGCTGGCCGTCGGCGGGATGGGCGGCCGCTCCTGATTGGCTGGGCTCCAGGAAAGGGACGAGCGAATGCCAAGGGAACACTGGCACGGAGCGAGGCTCCACGTTGGTCCAGACTGTGGAAAAGGACAAGAAGCAGAGATTTAAACATAAAACGTTATAATATTTGATCCACCAGAGTCATGAACTTCATGTTGAAGACCCTTCTCCTTCTGGTTACTAAAACTCCACTCTTAGGGAGAATCTCTGAACATGACTTTAGTATCACATCAGGACTCTTATTCTGACGTACACAGAGCAGCCCTCAGGAGAATGAGGGCTACTTTAGCTTATAGCTGGCCATTTGTTTGTACTGTTAACCAGTCTTTTGCTACTTTAGGTTTCAGGGTCTTGCTACTTTAGCTTATAGCTAGCAATGAGATTAAAGCTTAGCTAGTTCCTTGCTGCTTTTAGCTAGCATTTTGCTACTGTTAGAATTTTGCTTCT